CTCAGGTTGTTCTTCACTGTTTGCACGTGCCCGTCCTCGCTGCCCCAAGCCACCGGTCCAAACTGATACTGTCAGGCAAGTCCCCTTGCGTCGTGTCGGAAAGCTATTCAGGAGTCGCCGGGATTTATGAGACCTGCCGAAAATCTGTACCCACCTGAAAATAGCTTGACCTTGCCGGAAAAGAATCTGCACCTCTGGCTTGAAGACAGGTCTGGTTTGTGTGTCACCACGACAACGAAACCGGGCCTTAAACCTGACTGTGGTTGTCCCCGCTCACCGGCTACTGATCCGTGTCTCGCCGGAGTAAGAGGGGAGAAGACAAGACGGGGAAGAAGGAGAGGCGGGGTAAGAGAGATGGGCGGAGAGAGAGGGGTGTTGGATGATAATAAAACTCAATAACAAAAAATAAATAAACAATTATTTCACCGATAGTAAGTCCCAAATCAATTTCCATCATTTAATCATCTAACCTCTCCAGCCAATGAAACAATATCAAATACAATTGGGCTCCAAGTATTATTACGCACAAATTATGCCAAGTACGTAAGGCCCGATCCAAAAATACATATAAATATACCGTGTGTACTGTCGAGAGTCGAACGGCACGAACCATAGATGCATCTATTAACCTGCCGAAGCGAACAGCCTGCTCCCATGAGAATGGTGGAATTTATCTCGCTCTCAGAAAATACTTGCAACGCGAGTGAACATAGATTTCTCAAAGTTATCATAATATTCTTCAATTCTTTCCAAAAATAAGGAATCTAAACTTGGATCTTTAAATCTTGAAATCCTCAACCTCAGCTTTTAGTCAGCGCAATTAATAAGCATAATCAAATAACGGTGTCAACAAGGCATGGTGTAAACCTAAGACTACCCGTACATAAGCATAATTAATAGCTACTTACGGACTCTCGTCACCTTGTGCGTTCGTAGCCCCCATAAATAGAAGCACATATTAATTCAATTCACCTATGAGATTAATTACCTCTTACAAGGTTAGAAAAGAGACTTACCTTGTCTCAAAGCTTACTTTCCGGTCCACAATTGTGCTTTAAACACTCAACTTGGTGCCAAACGACTCGAAACTAGTCAAATGTTATATAAAATAATCAATACATGCTCAAAAGTTCATATCCTAACTATTAAAGTGATTTTCCAACCCTAATTGAAGAATTTCAAAAATTCACCCTCGGGCCCACATGCCCGGATTCCGGAAATTTTTGAAGAAAGTTGTTACCCATAACCTAATGAACTTAGACGTATAATTTTCACTAAATTCCATAACCATTTTTGTGGTTAAATCCCATTTTTATCAAAAATCTAGGTTTTTTCATCTAAACCCATAATTTCACAAATTTTACATGTTAAATCTACCCATAGTCTATGTATTTAATTCATATTTTGTAGAAATTACTTACCTCAAAGTGTTAGGTGATAACCCCTCTCCAAGAGCTCCAAGAGCTCCAAAATCGCCCAAGGAATGAAATAAATGAGCTCAAAAATGCCTAAGTTTCATACTAAATGAGGTTCTGCCACCAGCGATTTCCACTTCTGCGGACTTGGGGCCGCATCTGCGGCGCCGCACCTGCGGAAAAGCCATACCGGTGCGGGTCCTAGCCCAGGTTGTCTGGCTTCGCTTCTGCGGAGGCTTCTCTGCTCTGCAGACCATTGGCCAAATATCCAAAGACGTTTCTGCGACCAAGAGCACGCACCTGCGGGCTCGCACTTGCGGCTGGCCAAGCACAGGTGCGATTGCACCAAAAGCNCGAACATGCCAACAAGTTTGAAATTATAAAATGAACTCGCTCGCGCCCTCGGAACGCATAAAACATCAACAAAACTAAGAATCACACCCCAAACCAAATTGGATCAAATTAAGAACTTCAAGTTCTTCAAACTTACTCCAACCGAGCTGAAACATACTTAAAACTATTCGAAATGGCACCAAATTTTGCGCGCAAGTCTTGAAACACCATACAAAACTATTTTCAGTCTTGGAATCCCAATTGGACCTCGATAACACCAAAACCTACTCCAAACCAAATTTAAAGAACTTTAAAACCTTCAAAGAGCCAACTTTCACCTTTAGGCGCCGAAATGCTTCCGGGTTATCCAAAACCCGATCTGAATATATGCCCAAGTCCGAAATCATCATATGAACCTATTAGAACCGTCAAATCCCGATTCTGAGGTCGTTTACTCAAAATGTTGACCAAAGTCAAACATAGCCCTTTTTGCCAACCGTAAGGAACCAAGTGTTTAGATTTTAACCCGAACCCTTCTCAATTCCGAATTAACCATCCCCGCAAGTCATAAAACAGGAAAAGTACCTATGGGGAGTCTTATTTAGGAGAATGGGGTTCTAGAAAGCAAAATGATTGGTCGGGTAGTTATAGTAGAGATAATGCTTTTACTAAAGTTGTCTTCTCACAAAGATAATGACATAAGTATTTATTGGACTGTATAGGAGGTTAATGTGGGCTCTGAATGGAATGAGTGGACTCACATTATCCTTTAGAATTATAGAAAGATCTTATATGATTATCACAATTAATAACTCAAGAATAGTATGTTGGTCCTTAAATCATGGCTCATGCATCCATGACTTGCATATATTTCTGTAATGCATAAACTATTGAAATTCTTTTACATAATTTTATGGAACTGTTTTGATGAGAACTATGGAGATATATCACTTTTTAAATTTTTGTGATACAAGAATCACTCAAAAGAATATTTTGGGAGTTTCCTTAGATCTCTGAGAAGGGTTCATAGCCTTTAGTGGTTTATGTTACCCCGAAACTACTCGTGCCAGAGTAGGAGATTAGTGTACCGTTGGATCGGGCACTATGATAGAAGTTCCCTGGTAAGGCACAAGAACGCGAGCATGCTAGAACCTTGAACTATGAGGCACCACAGGAATGGGGTCTAGGCGATCGGGCTGGGATTGTCCACCGTACCGAGCATATGGTGACATTTTCAGAATCAGAATCATAAAGAATGTCAGAATTAATGGAACTCCCCAGAAAAGAAAAGAAAAGAAATGCTTTAGAAAATTTACAAGGATTGTCCGAGAAAGTTTATATATTTATCTACTTGAATTCTTTTTTTCAAAATAGAAGAGAAAAAAAAAAGAAACAGAATTTTCATGAATGACATCAAAAAGAATTTTACAATAGATATATGAGTTGCCTGTTTCACCTCTTTATTAGAAGCTTTTAGAATTTTCTTTATCATGCATACAAACTTTTTTCAGAGTCTCATTCCAGCTTTAGTGGGAGGATTGCTTTACTTACCGAGTACCATTATGGTGTACTGACGTTCTCTTCATGGAAACCTACATTGACACATGTCAATATAGGCACATATTTTGTAGGTAAGCAAGCTATGCGCTAGGATATTCTCCTCCCATTATCACAAGATTTGGTGAGCTCCATTTTAGTTCGTGAATTTCGTTGATTCCAGAATTGTCTTATTATTTCAGTATTTTTTAGAGGCTTCATTGACAGAGTCAGAACAGACTCATGGGTGTCCACTTTGCGTTACATTATTTTTTTCAATGTATTCAAGATAACAGAATGAATTTTTTTTCCAGAATATTATTTTATTTGAAGATACAGAAAAGTATTTACTTTAAATCATCTCGAATTGTGTTGAGATGCATTGCATAACAGAAATAGAACAGAATAGAAAATCCAAGATGGTTCGCTCCGTCAAGTTAAGGCACCGAGTGCCGATTACGACTTGGTTATCGTGTCGTGACAAAAAGATCTCTACATATAGGGAGAGAGGATCTTGGAGAATATTTCTGAAAATCTCAACACCCGCCACCTTGCGGGTCTCAATCTATATACTCCCTCTGTTTCATATTAGATGAGGTACTTTCCTTTTTAGTCTGTTCCAAAATAAATGACACATTTCTAAATTTGGAAATAATTCAACTTTAAACTCTTTCATTTTACCCATTTACCCTTAATGAGAAGCTTTTATAGCCACACAAATGTCATGACCACACAAATGTCATGACCACACAAACTTTTTACCCTAAGCTTTTAAGACCACAAGTTTTAAAAGTCTTCTTTTTTTTTTTTAAACTCTGTGCCGAGTCAAACTACCTCATGTAATATGAAACGGAGGGAGTATGTTTCTGGTTGAATAAATTTCAACCACCTCGAGGGCTGGTTTTATTCATTTATTTATTTTTAAAAAACACTGGTTTGAGCATACCTGGTGTCTCCCCATTTCATTAAACAAGAAATTAGAAAAAATCAGTTTATGGGACGATTTCTTTTCTTTCTCCCTGTCGATCCTTAGCATGTGAACTTGAGCTTGTCGAGACTTGCGAGAACCTTTTCAGAATCTTGGGGTCTCGAAACTGCTAAAGTCTACTGGACTGCAAGCTATAACCTGTATCATATGCTTTTATTTTTAACGGTGAATTATACTACTAGTCAACTTTCGTCAATATGTGGTTGGCCTTTGTATACTGACAAAGTAACGCATAGTGAAACCCATAAACTAGTGAAGATTGGGACCGGAGATTGAAAGAAACACGTGTGACCAATTTTCGTTGTTTTTGTGGCTCTTCCGTTGGATCCGACGATCACATGGAAAAGTTAAATATAGCAAGCTGAAAGATGTAAATGAATAATTGCGCAAAACCTTTTGGAGAACTCTTACAATGGAAATGTGTAAATGAAAGGGCAAACTAGGGCTACTTTACCTGATTATTGAATTTTAATTTCATCTTAGTTTATGATCTGGTATAAGTTTTGTGATAGCAATAGATTAGGTTGAAATTGCACTGAATAACTAATTTGATTAAATGGAGTTGCACCACGTCGCGGGGAAAGGTTAATGGTTTTCATTAGCGAGAGCATGAAAGAATAATTCCTCTTATGGATCGCTACCCTATTAGTCAACCTCCTACCCACGACAAACTCTATATAGGAACAAGTATACCAATACAGCCAGCCGGCTTAATTAAACAGCTAATGATTTAGTCAATCTCACCACCACCCTTTGTCCCCTTCTACTATCATTCTCTCTCTCGTTTTATTTTATTGAACCTAACCCTATATGCACGATTCAACAACAAGATCAAAGTTATGGTTTCCGAATAAGTCTTCAAGCATACACAAAACTTGAACATCACTACCAATTATAACTTCCTTTTTTTCTGAGAGAAATTAAAAGAAGATGGGATTCAGGGTTTGATTGACGTTTGTCTATTCATATCATAGCGAGATATATATTGTTGCAAAAAAAAAACCAACTAATAAGATAAACCCCGTGAAGACATCTTAAAAAACGATGGCTTCTTCAGCAAGAAACCATCACTACTTCCTGATCGTTCTCCTCGCGATGATATTATCATCATCGTCAGGACAAGAACCTGAATCCACTATCCTCCTGAAGTTCAAGTCTTCGCTAGAAAACGCCACCTCATCACTTGGAAACTGGGATTCAAAGGTGCAACTTTGCAAAGGCAACTTTTCCAATTGGAAGGGATTGATTTGCTACAACGGAAAATTCACCGGTCTCCAACTAGAATCCATGGGATTATCAGGGACTCTTGACATCGACACACTTTCCCAATTGACTTCTTTACGTACCATAAGTGTCATGAACAATAACTTTGAAGGGCCATTTCCGGACGTGAAGAAAATTGGAGGACTCAGAGGCGTCTACTTGTCGAATAACCGGTTTTCCGGTGAGTTGCCTGACGATGCCTTTGCCGGAATGAAGTCAATTAGGAGAATTTTTTTGGCGAATAATAGGTTTACCGGCAAGATTCCGACGTCGTTATTGGGAATTCCGAAACTTGTAGAGTTGCAACTACAGGATAACCAGTTTGATGGTAGCATACCGGCATTTACTCAGCAGGTTTTCCAATTAAATGTTGCAAATAATAGGCTTGAAGGTCCAATACCAGCTCAACTTAGCAGTCAAAGCTTAAGCTCATTTGCAGGTTAGTGTTTCTTAAAGACAAAAATATTCTTGGTTTTGTTTTAGGTTAAGTTATATAGTATAAAGATTTTTGCACTGTCAATTTTGTTGACCTTGTTATGGGCTTATAGCTCAAATTTAATCAATAACAAAAACAAACTCATGATAATATAATTAAGGTAATAATGTTAATGGAAATTGTTTTAATAACTTATGTATCAAGTGCAAAACGAGAGATACAAATTTTGATATTTTCCAACTAATGTGAGTCGCGAAAGATGATTGGCCCCTCTAGTAAAGAGCAATGAACAAAATTTGATTAAAAAGATAGTAACTAACTAGAAGAAGTAGATAAGAAAGAAATATTGTTGTTTTCGAAAAGTTTACTGAACAGAGTAATTGGTTATTCAAAACTTTAAAATTAAAGAAGATGATGGTAAAAAATATTATTGAAAAGAGTTTAATTTACGTAAACCAGTAATGCGAAGAAAATTTAGACTATCAAATTAATCAAAATATATCTACAAATAACTCCCAATATAAAGTAAAATTATAATCTCAAAAATAAAGCATGTCATTTTGAGCTTTCCCTTTAATGTTTCTTTGTCTAGTTTTTCTTGGCCTAGAAGCTAAAAGGATCTCGTAAAGAATCACAACGACTCCCAATCATTATTATCGTCGTTTACTTTCAATGACATTATTTTACGCTCTCGCAAGATGTGCGAAGTTTGATAATGTAAAAAGTATTTACACAATTAAGTCACTTAAAAGATAATTATAAATAGTTTTGTTTAATAGTATTAAATAATAATCTAAATAAATAATCTATGATAATATGTTATATTACATTGATGTTATAAATATTCATATAAAACCAAATGGCATTTAATAAATAATCCGAGAGAGGAAGAAAGATGGTGAGAAAGATTAGAGTGATGTAGGCAAACCGGATCACGGGATGGATATAAATGGCATGCACGTTCTAATTAGGTGAAGTCAAATATTGATACCCTCTTGATTTCTTTAGCTCTCATATATCCTCAAATATATTTATTTATGTGGTAATCTATTCTCTCGTCATTTATATAGACGTGGCAATTTAATATTTATCCCCTGGCAGACTACATGTTTGCACTTTTGTTTCAGTTGAAGCTAAAATCACCCTCAAATATTTGACTTTTTCTAGTTCACCAATTTAGTTAGTGCCAAAAATCTAACATGATATCGTAGTTTATTGGTGTCCTCTCGCTAGAAATCACGCTTGAGAGCTTCAAACAAGATTTTTACATATTTGTATGCCCCAATTATGTTATGTTTAAATTTGGACATGTACAAATATTTTTCTAAGGGCATCTATTCTTTAAATGCCTGGTACCTATTGCTTTCGGAGTACAAATTTTATCATGCCTATACAATACCACATCCAACGTGGGATAATAATTCAACTATTAGTTATCTTTTTATAAAATAAAAAAAAAAGTACTTAAAATGACTAAATGTTTCTTCTGATCGACTGAAGGAAAATATTTTATTTTAAATTTCTCTACAATTCTTCACACGTCTTAACACATTAAAATAACTAGTAGCACATCTATTTATTATAGTGAGAAGCCTATTTTAACTAGAAACAAGAAAATTTATTTCTCTATAATTTGACTACAAATCCTATTTAGACATGAATTAAATAAACAAGCAAATATCAAATACTAAACAATTTTGGTCTCCTACTACAACTTTGAATTAGTTTTCCAACACCGACAAAGTCCTTTTCTGAGGATTATTAAGAAGGGTTAAAGTTAAAATTGAAAAGAAAAGTTTATTTAAGTTTATGTAGCTTAAAATCAAACATGTATTTTTAGATTATACTTCATATATCTCATTTTTAATGCTATGAACCAAATGATTCATAAGTACTAAATAATCCAGATATTATAAATTCCAGTTACAACATTCATGCATTATAATTTTTATATAATTTTGTATAATATATGTAAAACTTTCGGAGTTCATTATTGTGTGGTTTCAAACAGGAAATGTGAACCTATGTGGTAAGCCAATGCCAGCATGTCCAGCTTCAAGGGAGGAACAAGGCAATACTTCAAAGAATAAGAAAGGAATCCCAATAGTGGCCATAATCCTAGCAGTCATTGGTGGATTACTCTTAGCAGCCATTATCATTGCTCTCTTTCTTCTCCGTAGGCAAAGGAAAAGACCGTCTCAGTATGAAAAATCATCAGTGAAAAATCTAAACAAATCAGAACCAAAGAAACGTCCTTTGAGAGAAGACAAGTATGGAAGAAGTGAAAAGGGAAAGTTGTATTTTGTGAGAAGGGATAGAGAAAAGTTTGATTTAGAAGATCTTCTTAGAGCACCAGCTGAGGTTTTGGGAAGTGGAAGCTTTGGATCTACTTATAAAGCAGACCTTAATATTGGGAAACCTATAGCTGTGAGGAGATTTAGACAAATGAGTAATATGGGTAAAGAAGATTTTCATGTACATATGAGAAGGCTTGGCAAGTTGTCACATCCTAATATCCTTCCTCTTGTCGCTTTCTATTATACAAGGGAAGAAAAGCTTTTGGTCACTGACTTTGCTGAAAACGGCAGCTTGGCTAGTCAACTATATGGTAAGTTTCGGTTAAAATGATTTTATACAAAATCAAGCAATTTAATTATAGTGGTTACAAGTTAGTGAGAATATTGTATATCACTTAGTTATAATGTAAATATCGAGTGCAGATAAGCGCTTGACTTTCTCCATTTATGAAGAAATTGAAGTATTTGAATTAAATTGTAAAAAGTACTTTTATTTTTATGTAACAGTGTAAAAGAATTTCTACACAATTAAATTACCTAAAAGATAACTATTTGTAACCTTTCATAATAATTTGATTTATTAACCTAGAAATTAAGGCAATTGCACATGTTATAGTATGTTATATAAATACACTGATAATTTAATAGTAGTGTCAGTTAAGTTGAATTCTAATTGAATTTAACTTATATGCAATAACTATGTAAAAAAACAATTACATTGTCTAACTTGTACTTTAACCTATTGTAGCAGATAGATTTGTCTTATTTTTCAAGCGCAATTTTACGAGCGATTATTTAAAGTTATCTTTAATTACATGATGTGACAGTACTTGTAAAACTTCTTTTACATTACTAGCTAGCGTCTAGAGTTAAACTCACTAATTTTGATATTGAACCAATTATATATTGAATGTTGTTGATATCAGGGAAAAGAGGTCCTAAGCAACCAAGTCTTGATTGGCCAAGTCGTTTAAAGATCATAAAAGGAATAGCAAGGGGGTTGGCTTACCTCTACAAGGAGCTTCCTACATTGACACTCCCACATGGGCATCTTAAATCCTCCAATGTTGTATTAGACCACAGCTTTGAGCCACTTCTAGCAGACTATGCACTTGTGCCAGTCATCAATAAGGACCATGCCAAACAGTTCATGGTCGCCTACAAATCACCAGAGTACATGCAAAACGAACGTCTTACTAGGAAGACTGATGTCTGGAGCCTTGGCATCCTCATCCTCGAGCTACTAACTGGCAGGTACTATTCCAGGTCCATTTTGGTTAATATGAATATTTGGAATTTTAGAAAATCAAGAACATATTTATTTTTTTAGTTATAACTTTACTACTCCAAGAATTCAAGAGGATAGTAATAATTTTGTCGAATACCCGTATCATATGAGGGATAAGGTCATTTGAAACGTGGGATAAGACGTGGGATTAAATTTATACTGCCAATTAACCAAACACGGTATAAATTTAATCACAGCCTTAATCCAGGATATCCCATGCATCTTATCACACGTTATCTCAGCAAACTTGGGATTACTTTATCCTACCTCGCATGTTAGTCTAGGGATTATAATTCCGGGATAATTTAGTCCCTGTACCAAATGAATGAGGCTCTCACCTCATTTATAATAAGTTAGATGTTTTTTGGAACAACGGATAATAAATTATAATTAAGACTTAACTTATATACATCGACATTTTAAATAATTGTTACGCTATCATTGTAGCTAAACTTGTTCTAGCATGTTGTTAGCACTTGTTTTTCATGTAACTAGTTCTACTTTTTGGGAGCAATTACTTGCAGTTATGACCTGATTCACCATCAAATCTGAATAGCATCCATCATGTTAATTATGTCCTTAATAACAGGTTCCCAGCAAATTATCTGAAACAAGGGAAAGGAGCAAATGCAGACTTGGCAGCATGGGTGAACTCAGTGGTGAGAGAAGAGTGGACAGGCGAGGTTTTCGATAAGGACATGAATACAAAAACCAAACACAATAGCGAAGGAGAAATGCTTAAGCTCTTGAAGATTGGAATGTGCTGTTGTGAAATGGATGTTGGAAGGAGATGGGATTTGAGGGAAGCCCTAGAGAAGATTGAAGAATTAAAAGAAAGGGATACTGAATATTCTTCTAATTATGCAAGTGAAGGAGAAATTAATTACTCTTCGTCTAAAGCCATCAGTGATGAGGATTTCTCCTTTACTAACAAGGGTTAAACAATTTGCTTTAATTCGAGAATGAAATATACACATATATACATATTTATAATTCAAGGAGTTATGAAAGGTAGAATTTTGTGTAAAAACAAAATCATTTTCTTTTTTATTAATGGTAGATATGTGAAATTAAAGGAAGCTCAAATCTCATGCCTTCGTGGATACCTTCTTTCTTTTATTTCTATTGGANAAGAATGAGGCAGTGCAAAATTCTGCGCTGCATTGTTTTGCTCCATTAAAATGTATTTTGCCTATGTCTAATCCATGTACGCGGCGCACGGGGCATCGCACGAGGCATCACAGACGTGTAAAAATCGCAGAACTACTCTATTTCGGTCTAAAAGGGTATAATTGTCAAAATCCCTTCCTACACGATTAAAAAGAGTAAAGCATCCATTATTGAGGGGGCAGACCTGTTATTGAGAGAGAAAAAGAGGAGGAGATCCATCTCCAACCTTCTTGAGGTTTTACATAATAACAACAAATCCCATTCCCTTTAAGCACCATAAGCTAGGGAATGTTACTAATGAAAATCCATCCTATATATATAGATATATATATATATATTTGTTCTTTCCTTGGGTTAGAAAATGATCTACTTTACTTTTGGTACGTATATCAATCAATCTTTATTTGTTTCATTTAGAATTGAGCACCTCTCAAATGTAAATGAAAATGAAATGAAATTGTAACAACATTTTTAGTTTGCCAAATAACTACTTTTCCCACCAAGTTTGAAATAAGCTTAATTGAGCTTGAAATTCTGCCTTACTCAACTGATCACAACTCCCAGCATCCATTTAAGCTAAGTACGATCACCAGCAATAGTAGCATCAGATCACGTGGTGGGCACGGTCGCATGTTATTTCCAGAGTTGTAGTTTTTCCCTATGCCAATTCTTTTACTTCGGCCTAGCGGCGGAGGCAAAATATTTGTGAAGGGAATTCAAAATTTTAGAAGGATAAGAACCGTGCTCAATGGGAATTGAACCTGCAACCTTTTAGAAAATTTGAACCCCTTGACCCCCTAAATTCGCCCCTGCTTCCACCCTTATTACTCCAAGAAAGCATATACCTATTAATTACTCATTTAAGGAAGAGAAGGACAATTTAATCAAATACTACTTATGATTATTTCTGTTAAATACAGATAAAAAGAACCGGAGGGAGTAGATGATTGACTAGAGAGGGACCAAAATTGCACAGTTAGATTTATTAACAACCAAATGTGGTCTGTTAACAATACAAGAATTTCAAAATCGAAATAAAGGGAATAATACATTAAGGACCAAAATTGCTATTTTCTCTATTATATATGGATGGAGATGTACAATTCCTTGTTATGCTATAAAACATTCAGTTTAAATTTTTCTTTCCTTCTATTTTTGGTTCTTTCCCCTGAGAACTTTAGAACTATTCTCTCCTTCTCGTATACCTCCACGCTAATCTATCAGGCAACTGCGTTTCATGATGTGCTCTTCGAACTCTCAAAGTCATATTACATCTTGTTTGGGAAGCTTAGTTTTTCCTGCATGAATTAAGGTGAAAACTGTGTCAGGAACATATTAATCCAATATAGCAGAATATGTGAATCTAGTGTATCCACAAAAAGTCATACCACTACTAATAAATTTAAATGTTCGTCGAAGATCTAATGCTGATAATAAGCTATTCATGTTGGCTAGCTTGGGACACGGAAGCTTGGCTATGATTTGTTGAGTAACCTGAACTATACAAGGCTGATTGGCATGGATTTTCTTCTCCAAGTGTTCTCAATCTCTCTAATTCTGGCATAATAACCTTGCTGAGATCCGGTCTATCTTTCCTTCTTAGCTCAGAACATTTCAGTGATAACTTAGCAAGGTTCAGAGCCTCGTCAAGGGGCCAATCAGGAACAGATGAATCAAGCATGTCGTTGAAGGTCCCTTTTTCGATTGCCCTTTCAACGTGGTGAGTCAAACCCATCGGTGGTTTGGCTGTTAATATCTGCAAGAATATGATACCTAAAGAATATACGTCGGATTTTATACCAAGCATTCCCGTTTGCTGATATTCGGGGTCTATATAGCAGAAAGTTCCAGCTGTTGATGTCATTCGGTACTGAGTGACGCTATCTGCCACTGATGGAGGGACAAGCCGAGCCAAGCCAACATCACTAATCTTACTCACAAAGTTCCGATCAAGTAGAATATTTGCAGGTTTTAGATCACGGTGCACTATTGGTTCTGGTTTGCTTTGGTGTAGGAAAAGCAGACCGGCACCTATTTCAGCAGCAATTCTAAATCTCTGCTGCCAAGAGAGTGGTGGAGTCTTTCCTCGCTGGAATAGAAGGTCTTCTAAGCTTCCATTGGACATAAACTCATATACTAAGCACCCATATTCAGGGCATGCTCCTAGAAGAAGAACCATATGAGGATGTCGTATGCAGTTCAATACTTCAACCTGCAATGAAAGAAGAGGGTGAGTGAAATTAGGGGCTATGCCACATATGAAGTTCTGTGATGAATGGGAAGATAGAATATGAATGTGAAGCAGAATTCTTGTGTCCTTATTACCAGCTAATATTTTAAATTACATGCCATCAATTCTTAGTTCTACCTTTACGATGCATCTTTTTCTTGTTTGCAGCCTAAGCAATTATTGAGTAGTAATGGATGCTAATTATATAATTGTTCTGCAGTGTTCAACATAGTCCAATGTCGTCAACATACCAATAATCAATTACAGGACGGGACATCATCACAACTAGGTGACTATGCCGCCATTCATCTTGTTTTAATTGAACTATTTTCACTGTAACTCAGTTTCCTGTTGCATGCTGACAGTTAAAGTTTACAGACCATTCAATCAATCAAATAACCATGCATCAATTCCAAACAAAAGTCATGGAGATTGCTACATGGGTACTTTCAGCATAGCTTTAATGGGCTCTCAGTAAGAAATCAGACATGTTTGTATCAGGGAACACAATTATTCTTCTTAACTACTTCTCCAAGAATAAATAAGAAATTTTGACTTTATACCTCTTGCTGAAACTGTTGTCTTCCGTGAGCTGCATCAGGACGAAGGACCTTAACCGCTACAGGTGTGTGGTCCATGTAACACTTATACACTGGCCCATAACCTCCTTCTCCAATTTTATTAGCTTGTGCAAAGTAGTCCGTTGCAGTTTCAATCTCCTCTATCGAATACCTCCGGTACCTGAAATCTGAATTTGAAAGTTTATTTAGTACCTTATTCCTCTCTTCTGCTTCTTTCAGAGCTTTCATTTCTGCATTAATTCTCTTCTGAGATTCTAGTTCTGCAAGCCTCTGAGCTGCCTCTGCGTGCTCAAGGGCTGCCCTAGATTTTGCCTTCTCCTTCTCTGCAAGTGCTAATGCAGCTTCCTCTGCAAATCTTGCGTCTTCTAGTCTTCTCTGTTCTTCCGTTTTCCAGCGCTGGAGTTCCATCGCCTACAATTGAGAACATATTAGGTCATTGATGCAATCACAAAGGTGCACAATGAGTTGGAATTTATCGTACCATTTGTTGTGCTGTGAGTGCTTCCTTGCAAGCTGTACTATACATTTCCATTGTTTGCTTGAGCTCCAGTTTCAGCCTTCTCATTTCTGCTGCTACGTCATCCTATAAATGAAAGGAAAGACCTTAAGTTTGCAGGCATGTTGTTGTTGAAGTTTGGCAAAATGCCAAAGTCCCACATTGGTTGGGAGTTAAGTTTGGGGGAGATT